CCCCCTGCACCCCCCGCTCCGCTCCGCCAGCGCCGTCCAAGCCTGCCTGCCTTTTTTATGTGGTATGCAGTGCAATCCAAGATGGCGGCGGATTCGGGAATGGAGACGTGTCCGTCCCCAGATAATCCGGAAAACAAGAAAAGACCGTGGGACGGAAACGATGAAAATGGGACGACGAAGAGATCGCACTACGGCGCAGGTAATGAGACTAAAATGAGGTGTATGCCAAGACCCGGAGGCGCAATGCGCGGAAACATAAGCTAGTGCCACGGGAGACGGGGGCCGTGGGCTCCCCGAGAGGGGGGGCGCTGCTAGAAGGCCGGCTCACATTTTGTGTCAATTTTGAATCGAATCTCCAACCTGTCCACTGGACTCTGCCCTGTGCGAACAGTGCCAGGAACCTTGCGTGGTGGCATGACATGTTACGCGGTAGAGTGCCCACAGATCGGTGTGTTGTGTGGCACCTGCTGTCATTTTGGTTTCGCAATCGAGTTTACGGCTTTGATTTTCGAGTTGTTTGGGCGAAACGGTACACTGGGTGATTCACCTGGTTGCTGGTGCCCTCGTCTGCCACCACTTCATTATTGTTGATAGTCTTGGAAACACGTTCGGCCTCAAGGTCTCGGCAGTGGAAGTAGGGTTAGGTTGTCCTTTCGTTGGGGGCTCAGCAGACTACGAGTGAACACATGGTGCATATCGCTGCGATACCAAGCCCAAGATGCGCATCAGTTTCGAAGGTATTGGCATCCATCCTATTTGAATGACCAGTTCTGATCAGAGAAGCCCTTGCAAAGGCACTGACTGATGACTCGGTTTTCAAGGTTAATATCACTCTGGTGGCTTTAGCCTTTGCTCATGTGTATTCAAAGATATTGTTTTTTTAAATCAATGGTGGTATATTTCCTCAATTTTTGTGCTCTATGGGCACGCTGACATCAGCGTTGTGTCATATGCAGTATGATTGATTAGTTTTTTTTATTGTAGTAGACTTGAAGTCACTGCTTTTCTCCTAATTGACATGAAAAATATGTTGTAGTTGCCTTTTGTGCTAGATGGTGGAATAGTCTTTGGGAGAGTGCCAATCAGATTACAGAGCTATTTTGCCAATGGGAGCCTAGTGCCCATGAGGTGATAGTGAAGAATAGTGTGAAATGAGAAGACGGTGATCAGCTGTTGCTATCAGTGTGTACACAAGAGCCGACATGTTATCATCCTGGCATATGTGGCAACCTCCCATGCTGTCCGGTATGTGCTCTGCGGAGTAGGGAAGCTGCATGTCTGGATGTGGAAGTGTCCTTCACGGCCTTCCCCCACCACCACAGACTGCTGCTGCTGCTGCTGGTGTGGTGCCATCACCACCTGCCCACTCTGAAAACAAGAAGAAAGCACCACATTCATTCTGGACTGTGTCAGCCATGTGTGCTCTTTGGATTTACAGGCTGCCTCCCGAGTGATGCAGCTACATAGTAGTGCATGTGTGACAGTGTTGATATAATCATCGAGTGACACAGTTGCATTGTGCTCCTCGCTTGAGTGAGACAAATTAGTTCAGTGTTGTGAAACTACAAGGATTTGTGATGACCATTATTAGCTTTCATAATGGTATGAATAGTGTTAGTGAAGTGAATTCAGAAATATTTTGTGAACTTGACTGAAGTGACAAGCAGCCCTCAATTTATTCCCTTGATGAATTGTGCTTTGTGTTGATGTGGACTCAATTCCTTTGAATTCTAAAACTGTGCTATCAGAGTTGCCCAGTTTTGGAGAATTAGGTGTCTTAAGATTTTAAGTAGTTGAAAGAATCTTGTGTTTTAATTTTATATTTTTGGAACCTACTTCTTTCCTTTTAAAATGGGATTTTTTAAAACAATATTGCTTTTGCACTATTTCTGTGCAGTCAATGCACTATGCATGTTGTTTTGTAATCTGTAGGTAGCTTAGTCAAGTATTCCTTTTTATCTTCAGGCGGAAGCAACGATGGAATGTACCACTTCAAAATTCTTGTCCCGAGTGTGGCAGCCGGTGCAATTATTGGCATCGGTGGTGAAACCATTGGGCAGCTACAGAAGGATACAAAGGCTCGTGTAAAGATGTCAAAAGCAGGAGATTTTTATCCAGGTATTTTGAATATTTTTTTTATGCTTTGCACCTTAAAGATACTTCAATTTTAATTTTTTTTAGAAGTTGTTGTGCTTATTTCTAATGTTTTTGAACGTTGTCTTTTGGGCAGGTACTGCTGAGCGAGTTTGCTTAATTTCTGGTAATGCAGAATCAATTATGGAAGTTCTTTCATTCATTATGGAAAAAATCAGAGACCGACCTGACTTCAGCAAACCCACCCCTAACCACACTCCTATTCAAAATGATTCATTTGACAATAAAATCAGTCAAGAGAGGGAGAAACAGGTAACTTAATCAGCATGATTTATGAGGCAATGCTTCGGCATCTTGTTTAAAAGACTAATTTGTGATGTTTTGTTTTTAAGGTCAAAATTTTAGTCCCAAACAGTACAGCTGGAATGATCATTGGAAAAGGTGGTAGTTACATCAAACAAATAAAAGAAGAAAGTGGATCATATGTCCAGATATCTCAAAAAGCAAAAGATGTATCCTTACAAGAACGTTGTATAACTGTTATTGGTTAGTATGTCGTGATTTATTTCCAGTAGAGTTATAAAACTTATGTTTGAAGTCTGTTTCAATGAGTAATCTTCTTGTTTTACTTTTCTTATAGGTGAACTTGAACAGAATCAAAAAGCATGCTTGATGATTCTTCAAAAGGTTATGGAAGATTCTTTGAGTGGAACTTGCTTGAATGTGAGCTATGCTGATATTGCGGGCCCTGTTGCAAATTTTAACCCCCGGGGTTCTCCCTATGCTATCACTGCACACACACCCTCGCAACCGGGTACATTGCAATCTGGCTTCAATTCCACCACCAGCCTAAATTCAATTGCCTCAGGCAAGCATCAGACATTTTAAGTACATATTCATATTTTATCTTCTATAATTGTTTTTAAAGTCCTTTTACTGCGCAGGTAATGCACTAGGAAATGGCATCAACCTAAGTTTAAATTTAAGTGCCCCCAACTCAGCTACGGGATCAGCTCTAACAACCCAGTTACTTGAACACATAAAGGTTTCTTCATTTGTCACTGCTTTTCAGCTCATCTATACATTGATTTGTTACAATGTCTCATTTTGAATTTTTTTGCCATAGGTCACATTGCGTTCTAGTGGATACTCTGACCTAGCTACCAACGAGATCATTTCATCTATGGCTGTTCTGGCACGCTATGGAATTCTTGGTATGGGACTAGGATTAGCTGGTACTGCTCCGGTTCAACATCGCACAGCTGCCACAGGCCTGCCTGCTGGCAGTTATCTTGGTGTTCCAATGGACTCAACGCCTGCTCAGGTACCAAGCCTTGCAAGTGGTCGAGATACTGGAGTCTTTGGCCCCATTGGAACCATCACTGGTCTTGGTCCTGCTGGAGGATGTGCCAGTACACCCCGTAATAGTGTTAAAGAGTGAGTATTTGTCAAGAAATTATATTATCTAAACTTTTAATCATCAATCTATGTATGTTTTTTTTTTGAAGGACATATTTTAATGTTTAAATCAAAACTAAAATGAAATTTTTTGTTCAGAAGGTTTGGAGATGCAAGTGATGTGGGTGGATTTGACATGTTCCTTCGTAACCCTGCTCATTCCGCCTTGTCGACCTCACTTAACAATAATTCTTTTGGACTTGGTACCAGTGGGCAGTCTCTTGAACACAGTCCTACTCCAGCAGATCCCAAGGATGGAAGAAAGGTATAAAACAAAATTGTCTAATTGTTTTCATTTGAGTGGAATTTTCTCTTTGTTTTCATCTCTTACCAATAACTTTTGTTACAGGTTGATATTGAGATTCCAGAATTAATTGTAGGAGCCATTCTTGGATTTGGAGGCAGATCACTAGTGGAAATTCAACATCTAAGTGGAGCATCAATACAGATCTCAAAGAAAGGCCAGTATGCTCCAGGTACAAGAAATCGAATTGTAACCATTTCAGGCTTGCCAAATGCCATTCAAACTGCGCAGTACCTCATTGAGCAGCGAGTTAGTGAAGAGGAAGCCAAACGCGCACGTCAGAATACAATTGGAGGATTACTAGTTAACTAAATGTATAAGGCAGTGAGTTAAAGCTATGCTCTGTTTCAAATGTTGATATTATGCTCAAATATTTTTTCATTTTTGTTTTCCTTAAATAATTTGTTTTCCAAACGTTATATAGATCAGTTAGATGTTATTTCAAAATGTTTTCTGGTATCTTTGTTGTTTGACATAGTGTTTCTTGTTTAATTGAAATTGTTGAGAATTTGTGGTTTTGGCTCTCTGTTAGTTGGGCAGTTTATCTTTTGACAATCATTTTGAACTGTTTTGCTTTTGCTAAAAGTTTGCTGGAGAAAATTATTTGAAAAAAATTGAGATTACTGTTCAAGGTGATCTCTAATAATGGGTATAAACTTATTGTAAGTGATCACCCTAAAACTTACAGTAACTTAATGTTGAAAACGTTAACTTAGTCATAGGCTAAAGTTGTGAGGAATGTGATGTGTGTTGTGAGATGCATTATTTTGCTCCTCGCGTCCAAGAAGAGCTGTGCATAATTGTTAGTTTTGTTGACATGTAAAAGCACATAGTTCAGCTATGGAATTTGTTTGTTGTTGGTTTCAGTCTACCTCTTTGTGATGCATTCACATTGCAGAACTCTGAAGGTGGGCATGAATTGTTCTGAGGATAGAGATAAAGAGATGGGGGTATTTTGAAGATGCTCAAGCCATACTGGACCACTAGTCCCTTCCATCATTCAGTCCCAAACATTGGCATTCTCTTTGACCTGTATGTGTGTGACGTCTGCTCAATGATTGAAATGTTACCTTATCATAAAACTCATGAAGATTTTTTTTTTCTGTTTTCATAAAGTTAAAAGATTAAGTTTATTTATTTATTCTTTAGTGGTGGTGTCTGGTGCTGAATTGCATCTTCATTTTGCCTTTCTGGCCTAATTATTTCAATTATCATATTTCTTTTTATATATATTTCCTGGTTATTTTGTACTTTAAATACAATTAAAAGTGTTGTGATTTCATAAGAGTAACTCAGCCCATGTTAATTGTTGCAGCACATGTACCTGAATAAAGCTGTGACTAAGAGTTAAATTCATGTATCATCATAGTAGCATGAAAGGTTTCATCATCAGTTACAGGCACCCCACGAGGTCAAAATGCGGAGATTCCGCATGAGCTTGACAAGACCATTGGGGCAACATCTATTCATGTTTCATGCTATTCTGTATTTTTGAAAGCTTTTTATCATCCTTTGTTGCAGATACTTTTGTTTTTGTGTGAGTGGGTGAGTGGATGTGCAAATGTTTGTATGTGTTTATTGTAGCTCAATTTTCAACTCAGTGGGTATGTTTTCGTTCTTATGTTCACTTCAAGTGGCTTATAGTTTTGGGTTGTATTGTTTGTATTTGCTCTGCTGTATGAGTGAGCAAGCCAGCGTGCATTTCAGTCAGAATTGTAGTCAGCAATGTACAAGTCAGTCAATTGGCAGTCATCATGACAGTAGGGCTAGTAAAAGCCTTATTCATCACTAGTTAGATGTTTTTTGTTTTCATTGTAGTATACCATTATTGTAAATATTCAGATTTCAGACAAATGTATGTATATGTTAAATGTATATATCTCTATATATATATACATCACATTAGCATTTTGTGCATATTCAATCAGATGTCAAATGCTAGTATTTTCAAGAGTTTAATTCAAGTTTAATTCATGAATGAGTTGTTGTTTGTTGTTGGTCTCTCACTACAAAATTGATGTTATTTGTAATTCCTCATTTTAGAATTTACGTCAGCATTTACGGTCTCATGTATGTATGGGATTGAAATTTGCTCTACCTGCACATGCACACATCCTCAGGAGTATCTTAATATCTTTTGAAATTGGGGTAACAATTCAAAATCAGTTTGTAATTTGGGAATGTGCAGTTTGTGATGTAGGTAAGCTCTTATCCGAATTGTTATCACACTCAGGTAAAGTTTAGAAATATTTTTTAACTGTGGTTCAGTGAATACAGTTATTTTGTAGCAATTGCTCTGGGGACAGCAGGATTGTTTAAAGTCTGGAATCAACAACATGGGGATTGTGTTATGCAGTTCATCAAAACACTAATTTTTTCTCCAGTTCGTGAAGGTGTCAAATATTTTCATCCCAGTTTTATATTTTGGCCAAATGTTGATAGCTATTTGATATGTATATTTGTGAACGAGTATCCAGGGAAATAGTGTGGTATTTTACAAAGAATGTCCTACCGACAATTTCTGCTTGTGATAATGCTTAGTACAGTTGTTTTTGTATCTTTGTTCGAAATGCCACCACGTCATTAATGTGCTCCTGTCATTTATTTGACTGAAAATCTCCTGATTTAATTTTACTTATTGCCTTTTGTTTCCAATGAAGGATTAGTAATTGATATGTGATTTACATGTGCGTAATTTACTGCTGATTTAACTTCCATTAGTTTAACATACTCATGGCATCATTAATCATTATTTTTTCATGCCCTCAAAATTTTGTAATCTTGTGTTTTTTCACACCCAATTTGTTTTCTTTTTTCACTTTTCAGCATGCCTTTTTTTTTTTTTTTTTTTTTATTTTGGGTTGTGAAGTCCTCTTTTTTCTATTGTGTTCATAGAATACATATAATATTCTGCAATTAATTTTCAAGTGAAATGACAAATGCAACCAATTCTAGAGGTTGGTTAGATAGAGCAGCATCGGCAAAACCATGACTAGTCCCACTTTAAGTGGCTTACTTGTTAAAAATTGAAAATAATTTTGTCGTTGTTTGTTTTGATGATGTAGCATTGCATTATTTTTTTAAAAGGAAGATGTATGGTGGTGTTGGCTCTTACTTAATATACATTATTTTTCATTGTTTTCTCTGAAATTTTGTATGTGATCACGAAAGCATTTACAAATGTCATGGCATGTATCATAAATGTAGGAGCACTGCATTTGTTTTAAGGACTTGGTCCTATCACCATCATCTCATTGGTAACAAGACTGGCCATCAGAATCATTTGAGTTACCACCACTACCACTTGTGTGATTAGATACATAGATGCTCTATTTTTGTCCATTACTATTTAGATTATTTGTTGGTAACATTGTATGTATTGATGAGATTTCAAGGTTCAGTTTGTTGTACTTGTGTAATGGGTACAGAATGTAGTGCATTAAGGAAAGTCTTGTTGCATATGGCAACAATTTGTGATTGTTGAGGTATGTACTAACATTTTGTGTGTATTCTTACCTCTGTAGCACCTTGCTATGTATTCATTTACATTTTCCTTGGCTCAAATTGAGTTGTGAATATCTAGCTCACCATTACATTACATGTTCTAACATTTCCACCTTCATTCATTTTTTTCCCCTCAAATACTTTTGATTCAATTACAATATAAAATATCATTATGTGAAGATCTGAGTTGTGAATCACTAAATTATAATGTTTTGTTGTGGCTTTGAACTTCAATAGTTGGCATTTTATATACTGATTGACATTGATTCGGGTATTGTTTAGTGCCATATGTTCATTAATATAAAAGATTCAATGTTTTCATTTTTAAAATTAATATTCCATTTTCGCCACAATGTTTCTCATGCTATCAAGTATTTATATTTTCACAGATAATTTTAAGCCAGATGCTGAATAGAACATTTCATTTATCACAAGTTCCTGTTAAATATGAGTTTTCTGGTAAAATTAGTTCCAAAGTCGTTCTTATTCATTCACTTTCCTAAAGAAAATAAAGCAGGCGTAGCTGCACAAGTTACAATCTGGCTCTGCAGAACTCACCAAGTGAGCTGTGTGGATCAATGTAGTTCCATAAATGACTGCCAGACTTGATATTTTATGATTAATTCACTGCTTTTAAATGCTTAGTACACTCCATTGTGAAGTGCTATGTTTTTAAGTTGTTGCGCCTGTGAATGGTTCTAAATGAGAAATGTGACTGGCAATGCTGATGAATTGTGTTGTGTGGCTACATTTAGCAAGGTGATACATCTCAGGTTAAATTAGAGGATAAATTTTTAACTATTACATTATCCCTTTCTCAGTATATTTAGAAAAGGAATGAAGTAATGTCTGAGAATTTAGCAGCATGTTCACTGATGTTCCATTTATTCTACATGCATGACATGGTTGTTTCATAATAAAGAAATCTCAATAAAATATATTAGAATGTTAAAATTACTTTTGGTTTCTGACTTTATTTTTTCCTATCCTCATGACAGACAAGGAAAAGAAAAGAGAATGTACAAATTTAATGGTACCTTTTGTTTATTTGATGTTAGTTACAAGGCTAATGAATATATCACAGACTTTGTCAAAATTATCACACAATGTTTAAAATCATATCACACTTTTCTTCTCGCAGTTAAAATCACTTTCATTTGGTGGGACTGGAAAGGCAAACCCACATTGTTTCTTGCAGTTGGCCTGTACAAATAAACTGTAAGTAAACTATCTATGTATGTAACACAAAATTAAAATATAAACAGAACTTACAAAGCACAATGTTTCAACAGCACCAAATTTTCCTAATCGATGGTATTGTGACCGATTTTGTAGGTATAATGGCAAATTTTTCTCTGGGAGTTCTGTGGGTTTTAATGGAAAATGAGAAGTGACATTTGTACCCAAATCCAGAATATTTCGTCCACAATGTTTTAGTTGCAATGAGTCCTGGAACAGTTTTATAAAGTTTCATAAATATTTCCCAAAAAAGTAACATGAATACTTTCAAACGCCAAAGCTTGCTGACCTTTTTCTCTGTAAGATTCTCTAAGAATTGTGTCACACTTGATACTATACAGGTTTCAGTTGATGAAAGTTTGGACTCCTTTAAATCATTCCTAGTAATCGCAAGGTGACTAAAAACTCCATCTGAAACCTGCAATCCAAAAATAACATGTAAATACTGTAATGGGTGGATGCCAGTTTTACAGGGGTACATTAGTCTCCGACATACCTCATCGTCAGATTCACAGTAGTCTGTCTCTTCAGAATCAGAAACACCTGCAGCTAATACTGAAGCTACTGTGCTAGATTGCAATCTACAGTTCCGCGAGGAGGCACTGTTCCACCTGTACGACTGCTTAGAATAGTGGGATGTTACAGTGCCATATGAAGATGACCCGGAAAAGGCTTCTAGCGAGGAGGCACTGTTCCATCTATAAGACTGCTTCGGCCAGTGAGATGTTGTAGTGCCATAAGAAGTTGACCCGGAAAAGGTTTCTAAATCATCAGCGACACTAGAAGCACTTGAGCCACAGCTGGAAAATCCACTGTCTTCTGAGAACTGACGTTGAAGATGATACGTTCGAAAATCGAAGGCAGTCGAAGTGTCTGGAAAAAAATGAGGGCTTAGCCTGTGATGATAACTTTCTTCAACACAGAAACCAAAATGACCACAAGTATGTCAAAAATCACCCGTGTAGTGTTGGTCAAGAAATGCACTCTGATGGCCATAGTGGGAGCGCCGGTGTCTCGATGCTCTGCTTGATAAGGTCGGTGGTGCAGATACGGTAGGCCAAGCACTTCTTGTTTTGGTAAAAGTCGAGGGACGGGATATAACGGCTGGACGATAGTCTTAAAAAGTAAACGAAAACGAATCATGGCTAAGCATCAAACAATCTAAAAGGGCCCATCTCAACGAGTCAACAAAACCCAGCAATTGAAAAAAATAACTTGGGACTTACGCTTCAAGCTCTCACGTGTCTGGTCCATCTCTATAGATTGTTCAACTTCTTCGCCAGGCAGCAGATCCAAGTACAATAAATAAATGATGTAGAGCTCTCAATTCGACTGGACTTCCTCGTTATCCTCTCTGCACCGGCTCGTCGTTCACACATGCATGTGGTCACCTCATCTGACAAGCTCTGACAGGCAAACGGGTGCGAACGGGTCACGGCGGCGACCGCGGCGTCTTGCAACTTGTTGATATGAGCCGTCAACTGCCTCCTCCCTCTTCCTCTTCCCTCCAGTGCACAGAGCAGCGCGCAGTGCAGCGGCGGCGGTGCGGTAGCGAAAGCAGCTAGTAAGGGAAGGGGTGGGGGCGTGTCTCTGAAATTGCCTACCTCCAGGCTGCTAACATTTCTTCAACTACAATCGTTGCAACGAAGATTGCAGAGAAAGCTACCTTCCTCTTTGGAAAAATGGTACCATAGCACAATAATTAGAGGAAAATGTGAGTTAGATGTTTCAAGTTACGCTTCAGGATGTTAGATCTATAGTATTTGATCTTAACCATCTTAACTCAGAGACCTCTTTAGATGGATGTCAACACATAAGTACAGTTGTTGCAACATTATTTACTTTTATTGGCAAATTCACAATAATAAAAAAAATCCAACAATACGTCACTCTACTCCATTTATCCACACAACATAGCTGACAAAATTTCCACTGACCATTGGACAAAGAGAATAAAATTCTTATGGAGTTGTCAATAATATTAAAACAAGTGCATGGGTAAAAAAAGGCATCTCCATAAATTTGTAGGTTTTATATTTCTTTTATCTGTTTTAAATTTGATACAAGACATGTACTATTGCACAAATCAATGCTTACCATCCATCGAACTACGGTAGATGACAAAATACATTACACACAGCCAAGGAATATGAGTAGACACAAATTAAGCTTTCTGTAGAGTTACTTTTCACATTTTAAGCATATTTCAGATTCAAATTTGACAAAAGCCCTTAGTAACCCAGACCAACGCACATTCCTAGACTCATCTATTCCTCAGCATAGGAAAACTGTTTCCCAGTTCTGACAATTAACAAACTTTTATGTGGAGAGAAAACAAGAAAAAGAGAGAAAATCTGAAAGAGTTATCACATGTGACACATCACAAATAAATATTGGGTTCGCTCAAAACAAAGGCAAAAGTTAAAATTTTGTAGTTTCAATTAACAATGGTAGACGTCCCCTGCTTTGTTTTAAGTGGTGAAAATTACAATTGCATTTTTACATCTAGTAAGAATGAGCTAGGGGAAGTTTAAGCTCCCAATGCCTATGTGCTGGAAAAAATGCCCTGAAAGAACGACTTTACAGTGACTTCTTCGCCTACATCAAATATACTAATGACTCAGATTTAAGTCGCAGACACAAATTCACTTTCATACATACACACACACCATTCAACAAACACACAAACTCTTACATTTATTCTGAATGAGATGATAGGGCTCACAGTTTCATGAGGCGGCTGGTGAATCTTTAGGGGGAGGTGAATTTTTACCCTCCGAGCTCTTATCCTTATTCCAGTCTTTTAGTCCCACTGGAATATCTGTGTTTTCATCTACTGATCCAGTGCCTTCCACAAATTCTTCATATGTAGTTTTCTCAGCAAATGGCCGTTGACCAACAAGCTTGACCATATCATCTCTGCTTAAAACCTCCTGTTTCAGAAGGTGCTCAGCAACCTAAGAGGAAAGTAATACATGTTAGTGTACAGTAGTTCATAATTTAATAATTTATCAGAGCTAAAATAAAAAAAAAAGTCATACCTTTTCCACATCAGTTTTGTGTTTAGTTAGAATGTCTCGGGTTGCATCATGAGCTTTTTTAATTATGTCCCTAACCTCGCCATCAATTAACTGTGCAGTGCTCTCTGAGTATGGTTTCTCACCAGCATAATCACCAGGCTGCGGCATTTGGAAACTCACATTACCCACTTTATCATTCATTCCCCATTCCATAACCTGTAAAAAATGAAAATAGGGATTATTGCGGATCAAAAGTAAATGTTACGTGGCTTTAAAATGGAAGAATAAATAAAGTTTACCTGAGCATAGGCAATTTGAGTAATCTTTCTAAGATCATCCTGTGCTCCTGTGGTAATTCGATTAAAGAATATTTCTTCAGCTACTCGGCCTCCTAATAACTGACACATTTTATCAAAAATATCCTCCTTGGTTTGTAGGTGCATCTCTCTTGGAAGTACTTGTGCATAACCAAGAGCTTGACCTCTAGGAATAATTGATACCTAAACAAGAAAATTGGGATGAAAATTTGGTGCAAGAGTTGGACAAGACAACTTACAGACATGTGAGTTACTCACTTTAACTAAAGGCTCTGTATTCTTCAGGAACCACCCTGCAATTGCATGACCAGCTTCATGGTAAGCTACAACTTTCTTTTCTTCAGGTTGTAAAACAACAGTTTTCCTCTCAAGACCAGCAATAACCCTCTCAATAGCTGCTTCAAAGTTTTTGATGGTGATATCATCACTGAGGGTTCTTGCAGCAATAAGAGCTGCTTCGTTGCAGACATTAGCAATGTCAGCGCCTATAAGATGATAACAGATGAAATAAGATTAGTAATTTAAACAAGAAAGGTAATTATTCAAATACTTCACAAGAATTACCTGTGAATCCAGGAGTCATGGCTGCCATTTTACGGGATAACTCATCCTTGTTTATGGATGTCTTTAATGTGGCTAGATGAACCTTGAATATTGATGATCTTCCTTTGATGTCAGGCTTAGGAACATAAATCTGACGATCAAACCTTCCTGGTCTCAGAAGTGCATTATCTAACATATCAATTCTGTTTGTTGCAGCCAACACCACCACATTTGAAGAAGTGTTGAAACCTGAAATCATTAAAAAGGAAAATTCATTGACCTTCTTACATAGCAGCTGGGAAGTATTAAAGCTTCAAAGATTAAATTTCCCTCACAATAATTTTTAAGAAAGATAATTGAAACTAACCATCCATTTCCACAAGAAGTTGATTGAGTGTATTCTCTTGTTCAGAGTGACCAATACCTCGTTGAGAACGCTTTCTTCCAACAGCGTCAATTTCATCAATAAATAATATGCATGGTGCTTTCTCTCGAGCAAGTTTGAACATATCTCGCACCTAGAAATTAAATTGAATTGATTACATGCTTTAGCTTTCACTAATACTAATACTCCAATATCTACCAAATCTCTGGTAGACTTACTCTGGAAGGACCAACACCAACAAATAGTTCCAAGAACTCAGAACCAGATACAGATATGAAAGGCACATTAGCCTCTCCAGCTGTGGCCTTGGCAAGTAATGTTTTTCCTGTTCCAGGAGGGCCTATTCAAAAGTAAACCAAAATTTAGTATAAAGGTAAGGCCATGACAAATAACTTTTATACAAAGGCTAACCTGTCAGTATAGCTCCCTTAGGTATTTTTGCTCCAAGATTTGTGTACTGCTGAGGATTTTTTAGGAAGTTAACAAATTCCATAATTTCAATTTTTGCCTCCTCACAACCAGCAACATCCCTTAAAAGGAAAAAACAAAACAAGTACGGTGAGAAGACATGAACAGGTTGTGTTTCAATTTTAGATTGAGTAGAGATATTTATAAACTTACTTAAATCTAACTTCAATATCCTTAGAATTAACTACTTTAGCTTTGGAGTTAGTCATATTGTTGAAGAGACCTCCTCTTGCTTGACCCATTAAGCCCACAGACTTTCGGTAGATCATGATGAAGAAAGCTAGAAACAAAATACAGTTTAGAAATAATGTTTTCATAATTTAACTACCAGTAAAACTTGTGTCAAGAATGGTACAAGAAAAATAGAACTAACCAATCATAAGTAAAGTTGGGAGTGCTTGCACAATTTTTGAAATTTCTGTTTCTGTAGTATATACTACAGGTACATAATGCTGTGGATCTAGATTTAATTCTGTTTGTGCATTTTCTAAACTTCTCTCAAAGGAATCCACGCTTCCAATATTGAAAAAGACTGGCTGTAAACAACAGGTGGAGATGTGACAACTTGAGATAAGATACAGGAAATCAGTGGCAAACCCAAACACCAAGTAGACCACTTACTGCATCCATACTTCCAGATGAGATAACACGAACAAATTTCTTGTTGACTACCTCTAGTCTCTCAACAGCACCTTTACTTAAATAACTGAAAATAAAATAAGATAATAAATACTTTCTCTCATAACACCAACCCACTACAAATAAATGTTTCACTTACTTATTCAAGAAATCCTTCCAGGTAATTTCCTGGCCACTTCGTGTGTAAATTAAATAAGACCACATAAGGAGTACTGTTAAACCAGCGGAAGCTGCCATTGCCATATTCCATTCATTCCTGCTGGGGCCTGAACCACCCCCACCTCCACTGCCTCCACCACCAGAACCACTGGGGCCTGGTCTGATTTAAACAGTTTCAAAGCAAGTTTAAAATTGGGCCCAAGTAAAAATGTCAACTACACAACATGTAAGCACTCACTTCAGGTTCAGTTTGGGCCATGCTGACTTATCAAGTCCTTTTTTATTTGATTTATCATCACTCATATGCAACCTGGATGATGAAAATCTTGGGTCTTTCGCAATGTTTACAAGTCGGTCGAGTATGTCATTGAATAGTGGAGATGTCTGAAGTCCTCGAATAGTTCCAATATCTAAATGCCTTTGAATCTGCAAGAAAACATACCAAATGTATTTCACAACACTAACAAGATATGTGGTACACAACACTGGAATTTGACACATTAAGCACCAGGAGAAAAACTGTGCACAAACTGCTCATTTTACAGTCATCTTAGTCATATTTATTCAATTTTAGCAAAAGAAAAAGTCGTTTGGAAAATCCTAGGGATTGCATCACAATAAACATTACATAAGGGACAGAGTTGGGCAATACACATGCAGAAGACGCACGTAAACAGATTTTAACGCGATTTACATGATACTTCTATTCGTTTCAACCCCAAATTAAATGCAATCAACTACCTGCAAAACTAGTATTGTATACCATAACCTACACTCCCAGGAGCAAGAGGCAAAGTGACACATTTCAAGCTTGCCATTCGTAATACATACCCAGACATTTTCCGGCGAACACTTGGATAGACTTTTCCACAGTACATTATGAAATTTGCGATTGTAGGATAACAATCGGTGGGCCATTGTGATCACTAAAGATGAATTCTTATAAGGTTGATGTATTGTTCAGGACCTCTCGAGTTACGTCATAAAACTAACCTTCAGAACGCCTTGCTACTTAAGCAGAAACGTTCGCACTCGTGTTCCAGTGCTACCGCTAAAATGCTATTTAATCTATTTTAAAAATCCCAATCCTTTCTCATAATAAAAATCTGATTTTCCTTTTGTGTGAGAAGTTAGTGAGTTTGATCACTAAAGGTAGAATTGATAAGTCTCGGATGATGAACAGCAGGTCTGGTCAAATAATCCGTTCTGAAAACTGGGGGCAACACTGATTTTGTAGCAGCCGCGAATATTTGATTTTTCAATTAATGAATGCACATTTCTTTTCAGATGTGACGAGTCAACTTTGGCCAACGTGAAAAAATGCTCATTCGAGAGTAGACGTACGAACATAACGCGAATACGTTTGGTGCTTTTCCTATCTTCTGACTTTCCGCGGCTTCTAAAGTCAAGTTAACCGCCACGATCGTCAACTCTTTCATGGAGCAGACGACTCGTGTGGTCACGCGACGCGACATCCTACGGCATGAAGGCATGCGTGCTGCTCCTGTCAAAGGTACCCTGTTAAAGAGAAGTAGAAGTCCTTCTGATGGCGGATTTGTGCTGATGGCGAAGTGCAGTACCCTTCCTTTCTCAGAGGTAAGTGATTTTGAGAAATTCCAAGACAAGATTCACATGGGCTCCAGACAAATCTGCTGATTTGGGTTTCATTTTGGTTATTGTCCACATCTACCAACATTATGCCACTTTCAGTGAAACGTTACACTTGGGAATCTAATTATTACACGACTTTTTGATCCTTGCTACAATTTTTTCCCCATCCAAAATTGGTACGTCTTGTTATTTATTCTGGGAAAGAAGCCGTCGTTTCTCTTGCGGCCAATGTCAATGTTTACACAAGAAATGCACCTTCAATGTTGGACTGTCTGTTTTTATGTGTTGGAGGTCAGCGTTGCTCTAGGGTCTTGGTTTCATCAGAAATTTCGGTGTTCACATTCTGTTTTCTTAATGGGACAGTCGTCTGCTTGTGAAGGAAATAACTTGAGACTGCCTGACATCGTCACCTTTCGGGAATATACATCTTTTACCGGGAGAGGCACTCGCCAATCGGACTACAAGACAGTGTTTCTTGAGACCAGCTGACATTTTGTCTACTGCTTCTGCGTCCGAACCCTAACACCCGTGTCAACATGGGACTTATTTCCAAAGAGGATCGAGTGAAAGGGCTCTTCAACGCTTCTTCAGCTGAAAGCCTGCATATTCCTTCAGACCCTCCTAGCGAGGATGAACTTCCCCCTCCAGCCCCAGTACTGATAAACCTCCACCATAACCACCATCCTCCTGGACCCAAGCCCAGGGTACGACCAATACCAACTGCCTTTTTTCACCTCCGCAAGTGTTTGGGAAAGAAGAAGTCACGTCGGTACCAAGATGTGAGCAGCCTCATGACATTAGTTGAAGAAGATGAGTTCGGAGAAGTGTCTATTACAGATCTGGCCCCCTGCCATGACACCCAATTTGCTCAGCTCTTAAATGACCGCTCGTCTATGGCAAAGTGGAATGAATTTGCAGAAAGTAGCGAGGAGGCCCAGCAACGGTTTTTGAATCAATTTTGTGAAAGAGGCCAAATTAAACATAAGAAGGGAAGTAACGGAGAGATCCTTTCTGGAGAAGATGCATTCCAGAACATTGATGTTAGCTTGCGCACAGTCCTACGTAAGAGCAAGGTTCCTCTTGGTCTTCTTTCTTACATGGAAGAGAAGCTGACAACATTCTTTCTTGAGCAGCCTTTGGAAATTTTTATATCTGAAAACTTGTCCAGTTTTGAACGCCTTTTGTTACACGCGATCTCCCAGTATCATCAATTGTTTTCACATAGTTTTGATGCTGCTGATGATTCCAATGGTAGATATGTGAAAGTTGTGAACCCCCATCAAGACTTCAGAGTCCCTGTGTTATCATTGGTAGACTTCTTGAGTATACGTAAAGATATGTAATGTTCAATACTCGAAGGGGCTTGTATTTGTATCAGAAGATTATAGCTTTAAGTGAAGTTTTAAGCAAACTGTGCTTCAAGAAAACTTTGACAGGTAGTTTCTTAATTTTGAACTTGCTGGTTACAAACTACAGCCCATTTGAAATTGTATCATATTCCTTATGGTTGTTCTCATGCAATTAATTTTTAATTGTTACCTTTATTTAGGTTTTTGTCCTTGAAAGTTTTGTCAAGAAGTTTTTCTTAGTTTAAAAGGTACTGTTAGTGTTTGTCACAGTACAATGTTGAATTGGGTTTCCTTATCTTTTCAAGATATGCATTATTATTTTTTCCCATAAAATTATGGGTTTTACATTGGTTCAATATCTATCTCTATCAGTCTGCTGATAATTTGACTGAAAACGTGTTCACTTTTGAATTGGAAAGTTTGAAATTGCTTTACAGGGTTGACCTATGACTTAATATTTAAAAAATCATAATATGTGTTAAGGCTTACTGACCATGCTTGGTCTCTTGTTTAAATTGTTGCCTTTGCGTGTGTGTGTGATTTAAATTAATTACTGACTTGAATTTGGGGTATAATTGGTTAATAACCGTAAGACAAGATTCACTAGTTATTAACTGCCTAGCGTGGTACTGAACATACCACTGTTCTAAACTACTGGACTCTTACGAATTTTGTATGCAGGTCTGTGTACTGTGGACATTTAATCATTCAATTAGGTAATAAATTTTAAATAAAATTACATCTTTGTATTAATCATTGCCGAGTTGATGTCAGTTTTATTCTCCAATTTTGTAAAGGAATAAGTACACTCACGGACACGGAAGGGAAATACTAGAAAGTCATCTTTTCAAGCAACACTCGGAATCAAACATAGTCGAACTGCTGTTTAACTTATTGCCAACCCAACACTGAACACAAAAGATCTGAAAGGGAATGACTGCGGGTTTGGAGAACACACCGGGGACAGGGAGGACTTAGTCTGGCTTCTTAAAAGGATTTCTTCACACCACCGGGTAGGCTCAGGCTAGCTCGCCAGTCCGCCCCCTTGCTTGTTGGTTGGCCAAAGTCGTCCTCTTCGTCAGGAGGGTCTCTGTCCTGTTCCCGAGTTGAGCGCACGCAGGAAGTAGTTGCGCGATAAGCCCCCCCACACACACTCATGGCCCCGCCGCTCGCTGCCCCGCGCCGCGCCCCCGCGCCCGCTCACGGAGGACCCCCCTGACACGCACGTGTCGCTTGTTGCCTGCCCTCCGGGCGGGCGGCGCCAGTGCCAGTACGCCGAGGTGTGTGCGCTCGCTCGGGTGCGAGCTCGACGCTCCAGCCCAACGAAACGACGCTTCATTAACGCGTGTTTTCATTTCTGGTTGCAGCTTGCAGAATGGAGAGGTCGCTATGGAGGATCAGCAAGATCAAAGGCAAGACGGTGATATTGGCGTAGCAGTGAGACTGCTGTGAAACCATGTGTTGTTTCCTTGGAATATTTTTGCTCAATGTTTTCTGTCGTTTTTCAGGCTTATTCATACTTCTTGTGTTCTTAATTTTTGTGATCATGATGTATCAGCACAATTTGAATCAACCTGTTGGACCTGTAGCACACAGCTTAATAATAGGTGAGCGTTAACAGCACTTACATAATCAAGTAAAGTTTTACTTTTCAAAATTCATGTTAATTGTCTGACAATTCTTTTCTTTTGTTAGAAAATGATGGTTTAAATGGTGAACTTGTATCTCAAGAAGACAGGCGACTTATAACCAAAATACGCACAAACTACCTTTACCCACCTCCCCCAGGGGATGTTCCATTAAATCTAACTGATCCAGAGGAGTTCGACACCAGCATGGGCCAGTCTCAAGTTGTAAAGAGACTTCTTAAGTATAAGGTGGGTACCCAGAGACTTACAGAAAAATTTAATGAATGATGTTATGATGTTAGATAATTATGATTTTTTTTCTTTTTTTCTAGAGAAATGGTTTTTTTATTGAGTGTGGTGCTTTAGATGGTGAGATTCGGTCAAATACTCTTTATCTAGAAAGGTATTTGGGTTGGTCAGGTCTTCTCATAGAAGGAGACCCCAGTAACTTTGCACTTATGGTGCACAAGCATCGCAAAGCTTGGTTATCACAAGCTTGCCTCTCCTTGAAACCCTATCCATCTATTGTAAGTACTTAATTTTCACTTTGATGTCAGGGTCATATGTTTCTGATTCAATAACATTAAACAACTACAACTGAAATTGTTCTCTTGTTATAGGTTTCTTTCAAACAAAATTTTAACATGGGTCAAGTTTCAGATTATCCAGCAGGGCACTCTCGATCTGGTTTTGTTGATGTCCAGTGTTTTCCACTGTATTCTTTCCTACTAGCATTAAATCAAACAACCATAGACTATTTCAGTTTAGATGTTGAAGGTGCAGAACTTGATGTGCTTCAAACTATTCCTTGGTCAAAAGTTAATATCAAGGTAAATTAAGTATTATTTTTTGTACCTATTTCCTTCAAATGACTGCCTCCTCTAATATACGTCTCATTTCAGGTTTTGTCCGTAGAATTCATTCACGGCCCACAAGGAAAAGATGCTCTTCAAAATTATATGGAAAGCTTAGGATATCGTGTCGTAGAGACTGTAACTCATTCCAACAACCTCGCTAATGACTTTATCCTAATCAAAGACTAATTTTACAAATGTAATGATGTCTTTCCTGGGCATCTGGCTACTAATCTGTCCATTCCAGAGAGAATAAAAGTCAAGTAATTAGTTTTGAGATGGGTTTGCTGGCATTTCCATCTGATTCATTAGAAAGCTGTTGTCAGTTTGAATATTTATTTTTTAAAATTGAAAAGTGCACAAAGTTAATTTTATTGACCCCTTGCCACTATTGTGCAAATCAAATCACTTTTATCACTAGCGTGTTTTAATTATGAAGTATTATTTGTATTGTTTTGGCTTTTTTGGTATTATTCCATTTTTGCCATACTACCTAGGTCTGTTCTTAATGTTTCTTCGTTTTAAAAAAATTATATCTGATCTGAGTGTTTTTCTACTTTCAATATCCTACTTAGCTGTAGAAACTAGTCCTCTATTTCCTAATCTTAATAATCAAGATATTTTCATTCTATGATTTGAAAATGTTGAATTGAACTGTGCACAGTGAACTGTATTGGAACAAGTGTGCATGTTATTTTATATTAGACATTATGTGAACCAAGCTCAAACTTATGAGCTTTTATGGAGGAGGTGTGTCACTGCTGTGATGAGGTTCGTACTGAGGTCCTAAGAGTGGTATAATGGTTATTTTCTAATATGTAGGTGTAAAATGCTTATTGCAGGGGTGCGTGTTAATTTTGATAGTTAGTGATATTCTCAATTAGAGCTTTTCAACGCTTTTCTTTCGCTGCTATTTGCCATCACTAAAAATATTTTTGAGACATATTCAAAGTTGGCATTCACTGTCTGACCAAGCAATTTTTAAAAAGAATCTATGCCTAATCCATGCCCAAGATGAAGTTAGGAAAATACTATTCAGTGCAGTGACATTGAAAGATTGTGAAATACTGTATTTTCTTCTTACAAATAATCAATTTTGATCCCAATGATCAGCCATTACATTGCCAGTTTTTGGCTCAAGAAAAGACTGTAATCTAAACTAATAATTTGCTGAACAGTTATTGTTATAGATGTAGGCATTTGTTATTTTTTAGAGTTCGTGGGTGTTCCTTGTATCACAGAAAGGCTGATATACGATTCAGAAGTTCCAAGATGAAAACAAAATAAATCTTTCACTTTTATCTAAAACATTCGTGCAAAGCCAGTTGCAATTACCTTTTTTGACAGAAAAAGTTGATCATGGTAAGTGTTATGATTTTGATGGTACACAAAGATTGTTGCTGTTATTGAATTAGTGTTGTTGTACCCTCTAGTCAAAGGTTCCTCCTGATTTAAAATCTTTTAACAATGTATTATTAGTAAATTATGCGTAAGCAAAAGTCAGTAGTATTTGTAATCCGTAATTTAATTATTGTTTAAGTAACTGCCTTTTCTACAATTCAGTGTGGGCATGTAACAGTCAAACCTCCAAAATGATATTTTAAATCTAACCATGTTAGTTTAGCAATTGGCACAATTATTAGAAATTTATTTTCTACATGTTAATCAAAAGCCATTGCTTTGCTTTAACTTTCTATGATGATACATACGTAACAAAGATGTCCACACTGATGAATCTACTTATGTGATTGATGTCATTCGATTTTTACTAATCTCAATTGTTATTCTTTGAATGATTGTTGTGTAATGATAATAATAATAAAGTTCTATGTCTGTACTTGAACTCTTCAATTCAGGGCCCCGATAGCGTGACGGACGCAGAAGCCCATTAGTGTTTACCTTGGGGAACTGCCAATACTGATTGCCGGGCTTTCTAAAAGTTTGTCACACGGAGTAATGGTTTAGTTTTCTGTTCCATTATTTGTTTGTCGAGGCTTTCGCAGATGGTCCCCTGGGCCCCCTGAGCCCTGGTGGG